GGTGGTGGGGGGGAGGGTTTGGCCAAGCAGCAGAGGGGATTTTGGGCAGGGGGGATTTTGGCCAGAGGGTATGGGGTGTCTGGCTCGGGGCAGGGGAGTTTTGGCCAGGGAGCTGGGGGCAAGTAGTGACTGGCTGGGAGAGTGAGTGGAGGTGGTCTGGGCATGAGGCGGAGGGGGCCACTCACTTGTTTTCGTGCCACATGGCAGGCAATGTGTAACACACGCCTCCTGCTGCTCCCTTTCTCTGGCAGGAAGTTTCCAGGAAGGGCTGGCAGGGGAGGCTGCAGGAAGTGTGACCCGAGGGAACAAATGATCAGTGTGCAGGGAGCCACCTTTGGTTCCTGGTTTCCTCCGTGAAGGGGGGGGAAGGAAAATGCTATTGCTCTGAGCCATGTCTAGCCTGTTTGTTCCCTGCACGCCAGATCTGGCGCGGAGCCTCAGGACTTTCTCCTCCCGCTCCTCCCCACAGGAAGCTGCACTGATGCTCCAGTTACGGGGTGGCGGGGCATAAGGTTGCAGCGCCAGCATAGGCTCCCTGCCGTGGGGACAGCAAAGAGGGGCTGAGCTGGGGCTTCAGAAGAGCCATATCTGGCTCCCTAGAAAGCCATATTTGGCTCATGAGCCATAGGTTGCCAAACCATGTCTTAAAATATCAGAGTATTAATTAGATTATAAAAATATTTTCAGGGAAAACTCTAAAAAATGTTAAAGATGTTGCTTATGTAGCAGATCTGCAAAAAGTTATCTAAAAATGCAACAGGTAACAACTTGTTAACTGGGTAGTTAGTTGTCCTAAAAAAGGTTTAGAAGGGAGGTGATAGATGGAAACACTGAGTCATCTGCTCTAATATCAACTTTGTGGCAAGAGCTTTTAAGGTGGTAGACTTCTGCATTGATTCTTTAATTAAGTTTCCACATGGCAGGTTGTTGGGTTTTTGTTTGTTTGTTTTTACAAAAGCCAAAAAAATTTTTGTTGTCCATCTAGTAAGTCTGGACTAGTCTCATTTCTCACCTTCCAAACAGATTAAGAATGTTTCCAGGCCAATGTCTTATGACTAAAATCAAATGCCTGTTGTATAGCACTCCATATTTGGATTTAGTAATCAAGTGTTTTAATCCTTTTCATCCAGTAAGGGGATGGATTAAGAATATAACAGTTCCTGTGATAGCCCCCATATGCTCTTACCAGACAAGTAATCCCTCAATTGTTCTACTAAACTGTAACTGTCTCATAGATGCCAACTTTTCCTTTAGCTGGGGAGTGCTCGATCCCCTTCCCATCATCCCTTCCTTCAAGCCACTGTCCTTCCTCTTCCCGCCCCTGCTTCATCCTGCCTCTTGCCCTTGCCCCATCCCCATGCCACCCTTTCCACTAAGCCTCCAACCTGATCCCGACTCTTCGCCTGAGTGAGGCCCATCCCTTCTGGAGCCACCTGAACGCAGCAAAAAAGCTCTTCATGACGGGCAGGAGGTGAAGGAACAGTTGGTCAGCAACTCCCAAAAGCAAAGTGGTGAGGAGTTAAGTCACTTACTGGTACATACCATCAACCATGGGTACTCACCTTGCCTTTACCACGACTCCTATACAGCACAGGCCAGGACCTGCAACACTAACCCTGGGATGGTGCAGATCCCTTCTGCAAACTCCCCTGTAACAAGCTACTCTCTCCCCAGCATCTATCAGTTAATGTCTGGCTTAAATCCTCAAAAAAACTTAAAAACACAACCAATGGTCCTGCAGCACCTTAGAGGCTAACAACAAATGCAGATGGTATCATTAGCTTATAATACCGTCTACATTTGTTCTTAGTCTCTAAGGGTGTGTCTAGACTACAAGGTTTTGTCGACAAAACTATACCTTCATCTACACTATCGCTGCATTCTGTCAACAGTAAGTCAACAGAACATGGCAGTTTTCTCGACAGCGGTAAACGTCATTTTACAAGGAATAACGCCTTTTTTCGAAAGTACTCTGTCAAAAACGTAAGTACTCTGTCTAGATGTAGCCTCAGGTGGTGAAGAATTATTCATAGTTTTAAAAGTTTTTTCAATTACAGACTAACATGGCTACCCTTCACTTTTAAATCCTCAAGCAAGCGCAAAAAAAAAAAAAAACCCCAAAGAAAACTAATTAAACAACTCTTAAACAACCGATATAAGGAAGCACAAATACCTTCCTGAGAAGTTACCTTAAGCACAATTTTGTTGTCAGAAGTTGGTGTCCTTCCTACCCACAGTGCAAATTTGCATGGATCTCCTTCTACATGCTCTGTGACACCCAGCTCTGAAGTCTGGAAGTAAGAAAAATTGGTTAGGACTCCATGACAAGTTTTGCATAGGATTTATGGAAACTATTCTATTAAGATGAACATACATTCCCAAAATACTTCTATGCATTCAAAAGTTCTTCAGCACTTTTGCATTTTTGAGAACACTATTTGTTGGCTTTTTTGCTTACAAATACAACAATTTTCAGCAAACGGCTTCCAATATTAGTATACAAAGGAATAAAAACTTGTCATTGAAATTCTATGGTCTGATTTTTCACCGACATCCTCATTACTCAAAGTATCAATTTCCCAGGTTACAAATTAAGCAGCTCCTGTTCTTGCTGATTTCAGTTAAGAGACCATAGCCATTATTATAGCAGGTAAAGAATAGTATTCTTGCCTGGAAATTCATAGGTTAACAAGAGAAATTTTTCTTTTTGTTTAAAATTCTAATCTCTTTCCTAAGAAATCACGTCTAATGTGTTACCTTTCCTCCACTATAAAGGAAGTAATTCAGAAATTGGATAACTTCCAAGTTCACCTCCATGTAAGTAACCTCAAAGTGAAGTTACTTACTGTAGCATTCTTAGATGTGATGCAGACATGTACTCCAAATAGGTGCCTGCATGCACCAGAGCTGGAGACTTTGGCCTAGCAGTTTCTGTAGAGGGGTCGCATACATGCCTCATGGCTGTGGCCCATCCCCGTTTAGATGAGGTGGCACCACCCAAACCCCCTCAGTCTCTGTACACTGGGAAGACTTCAGTGCAGAGAGGGGATCGCAGGTGGGCCGTGCAATAATGACTGCATCTTATCTTGAATATTCAGTTACAGTAAGTAACTATTTCTTCTTCGAGTAGATGCAGATTTGCATTCCAGGTTGGTGACCAGCAACAGTTCCTCCATTCGGAAGCAGGGCTCAGAGTCTACATAAATAAGGACTTCAGGACTGATCTTCCGACATTACTGTCTGCTCTGGAAGAAGTAGTGATTGCATAATGGTCCATAAATGTATCTATGTACATAGAAAAATGTATCTATAGACAACTGTGGCCACTCAGCAAGTCCAGTATGGAAATGTTATTAAGGAATGCCACCAATGTTGTCTTCACGCTCCCTGAATGTGCCTGCATCTGCTGGGGTGGGCGTAGCTTTTGTATTTCAAACACAGTCTTGCATTATCCTCCTAGACCAGGGGCGTAGACCTTTTTTGGGCTGGGGCCACACACAAGTGAGAAGCAAAACAATATCAAACAACCCCCCCAATCCAGAACCCTAACTGACCTGGCCATCAAATGAGAAAGAGAAGAAAAAAAAAACCTCACAGACATAGCCCCCAATTAAAAAGCAGGGAAAAACAAGACACTCCCATCAAGCTGCAGCCTTACAGGGTGGGGAGGCACCGAGGCTCAGGGTTTATCCCAGGACTGGATTAACCCTTCTGGGAGCCTAGGACTAGTAGATTTTGTGGGCCTCCCTTTAGAATCTGAGAATTGAGCAAAAAATGAGGGGTTTAGTGTCTGGGAGAAGGCTGCTGGGAAGCAGGCTAGGTGTAGGAGTGAGGACTCTTGGCAAGAAGTATGGTGCAGGAACAGGCTGAAAGCAGGAGTTTAGAGTCTGGAAGAGAGGGAGGGTGAGGCTGTGGGTGGGAGTGAGGGTATGGGAGTGGGGGGTCTGGGCAGGAATGGACAGGGGATTACAGTAACTATCTGGTGTAGCTTCCAGAGGGGCACAGGTACTCTGCACACTGCAGGGAAGCATTCCCTGCAGGCACTGCCCTCCACTGCTCTCACTGACCACAATTCCTGTCCAATAGTAGTGATAGTGTTGTGCCTGCATGGAGCGCTTCCCCGTAGCGCAGAGATCTGCCTCCTACCCCCTGCCAGGCTGGATCTGGCCCGTGGCTTTCCTTGCCTGGGAGCTGGTGCTCCAGCCATGACATCACCCGTGTGGCTGGAGTACCAGCACAGGCTTGCACTGCTGGGAGAGGTGGGGATCCCTGAACCTTGTGGGGGACTGGATAATGACAAGCTGCAGGCCAGATCCAGCCCGAGAGCCATTGGCTCCTCACCCCTGTTCTTGACGGTCTGTGCAGAGATTGCTTGCGCTTTCATGCAGCTCATGTGATATAAACAGGCCAGGCAAAGCACAACACTGTTCAGTCTTATTCAAATAGGCTAGATAGACTCTCACATATGGGGGCATTGAAATTTAGGTAAAAATTCAGGCAAATACACCGCTTGTTTCAAATGAAACTCAGAGACCACTAAATATAAACTTTGGTTTTGGCAGGAGTGTAAGCTTGTCCCTGGGGAACTGCACATAAGGGGGCTCAGTCATCAGGGCATGCAATTCACACACCTTCCTGGCTGAGGTAATGGCTTTCAAGAATGCTATTTTCTGTAGCCTGATCTGACAGTAGCTAGGTCCCAAATGTCGAATGTTATAAAGATCGAGGCACTGTAAAAGTGGGCCAGCCTGCCTGTAAAAGAATGAAGAGGAGGGAGTAAAAAAATAAATAACTGGAACAGTGCTTTAGACCCACCGAGTCAAAATGGGTGCTTAGCAGGCACTCAAGACAGGTGTGCAGAGCAGTCAGACTCTACTGCTTCCTCTTATGAGATCTCTCTCTATTCCTTGGAGAGGAAGGGCCCATATGGAGTGTTGCTGTGCCCAATAATGGCATCTCCGCATTGGGCATATCCCTCTAGAGCAGTGGTCTCCAACCTTTTTACACCCAAGATCACTTTTTAAGTCTCAGAACAGGCGAAGATCTACTGCCCCGCCCCTTCCTTGAAGCCCCGCCTACATTACATGAGGAAATCTAATGTAAATGTACTGCGCAGGTGCGCAGTTCAGAGAGGGCTCAAGAGCTACTCTTGGAGCCCCTGAGATCTACCGGTAGCTCGCGATCTACTGGTTGGTGACCACGGCTCTAGAGACTTCAAGGTAGCCCATGAAAGAATGCAGGGTGTAATCAGTTTCGTCCAAAACAAGGTTCAACCATCAAATGGCAAGCCCTCAATGCCAAGATGGGCCTCCAATGTGATCCCTGGGTTCTGGAGCCAGGAAGTCCTCTACATAGTAATTGCCTAGGCCATGGCCTGGGCTGAAGTGAAGTGCACGTTGCAGACACATTTTAACCACCAAACAGCCTACAGTGAGAAATGCCTGAAATTCATCGTGGAAAGCCTTAGCTGCCAACTGCTCCTCAAATTTGTCCACAGCCAATAAACTCAGGAAGTCATATTTCGCACTAAGGTTTGCTGGTACACAATCCTTACCTGTAGTGATGATGAGTATCTTCCTGACTAGAGGGGTCCAGGCCCTTTCAGTTTCTATCCCTGAGGGAGGACTTCAATTTGCCCTTCCAAGTCCTGTCAATGCTGTGACCATCTAAGAGCTCTGGGACAGGTGTGACCAACACAAAATACGCTCAGCCACCAGTGATATTGAGATTAGTGTACTCCAAAGAGACTTCACAGGCTCAATGAATGCCTTATTAATTTGGAGGGCCGCTCTCTCAGGGACAGTGGCCTGGACCATGTCCATCAATTTATGGGCATTCTACTAAAAAAACTCCATCTGAGAACCCAGGGACAAGGCTACTTGAGAAAAAGTCCTGAAGTTCTCTGAAAGGCAGGGGAGAATGAACCTGGCAACACTGTATTGCCCATAAATGAGGATGAGGTTGGACCAGAGGCTCCTGAGGCAGCATTTCCATACAGGGAAACTCTGGTGGCCCCACAGGAAGGGGAACCCTGGCAGCCACGAATACTGCATGAGCAGGCAATCTCACTCTTGAGACAATAAGCAAGGTGACTAGAAGTGAGCAGCCAATGCTATGGGTGAGGCATTGGTGGTCAGTACTTGCTGGGCCAAGGGCCTCCATCTCAGCCACAGGGCACATGATGATCTTGGAAGTCAAATTGGTCTACTGATGGCCTCTGAAACCCCTCAGGTGAAGCAGAATGGGAGAATGAGAAGCCTGAACCCTAGAGACTTGGGAGGACCTACTTCAGAGGCAGCCAACAGGCATAGTCTGAAAGGATGTCAAAGATCAGCACTGCTGATGTTGTTGGTACCACTTGTGCCAAAAAGGTCAGTGCCGTAGGCAAGGTCTGTCCTGGTGTAAACAACAATACTAGAGCACCTCTATGCCTTGATGTTGACAGGGGTGGCAACATCCACATAACCGTCTGCAGTACCAATGAAGAGGAAGGCCCTAGTACTGAGGAGTGCCCTAGTACTGAGGAGCTTCATACTCCCTCTGGTACCATGTCGATACCAACCCCAAGATGGGTTCTTTGGCATGAGGTACTGATTTGTTGGCATGCTCCAACTGAGCGCCATCACAGGTGTCAGGCCCACCAAGTCTTGGACCTGTGGCGATGATGGGACCAAAAGGCAGAGTAGGTCTGCCACAACCTGGTATGTTGACATCACTTAAACTTGGTGCTGAACTCAACAGATGCACAGAGGCCAGACTTGGAGTCGATGGTATGGGCTGTACTGAGTAAGGATCAGAGTCACTTGTGTCAAACCACATTCTCTCTCAGGAGACGGGGAGAAGTCATTCTGGAACATGGTGCACTCCTGATTGGTCTCACATGACAGCCTCTTTAGTGCCCACAACAGAGAACTCCTTCTTCACCTCTTCGGAGATGCCCCCTGACCTGTAACATCCTGCAGCTTCTTGAATTAGATGGTGATCTGTGGTCCAGGAAGGTCTTGTCACTGGGTCAGGCCTCATGGCCTGTTCAAGCAGGTATTGCATAGGGCACAGTCCACCATCTGAGTCCTTTTCTCAAAAAAATCTTCAGATCAAACAATGCTCCTTAAGGTGCCCTTTGCCAAGGCAAAACAAGCACCAGGTGGCTATTGTTAGGAAACACCACCCCACACGAATGACAATCCTTGAACCCTTTGGGTATGTCTACACTACGAAGTTAATTCGAACTAACAGATGTTAGTTCGAATTAACTTTCATAGGCGCTACACTAGCGCTCCGCTAGTTCGAA